AAAGCGCGCTGTGCTTGCCACTTGCCACTCGAGGAGCTCTTTTGAGCGCCGTTCGCCGTTCGACGCTTTGGTATAAAACATAAACAAGCTAAAGAAAGCCATTCATTTTGTTGTTTGAGCTGGCGCGAACCGTTAGTCCAGCAGTAGAAGCAGGCAGCACAAACGCTGTGGCATTTAGAGTGCAACATAAAGTGAACATACATATAAATACATATAACTAAAAATAAAGTTAACATATCTGCCAACAAAGTTGCCCAGCCAAGACTTAAGTGCACTGTGAATAAATTCGAGTAACTTCTCCTTCTCTAAGAGTGTGTGTTGCAGTGTCTTTATTTGTGTGTGTGTGTGTGCGAGTGCACATCAAATCAATTGTGTTTTATTTTGGATATAAATTCAAGGAGTCGCCACCGCAGAATGCAGTAAGTCAAAGTCGAAACTATGAATCATTCGGTCCAAGAATTCGTGCAGTCGCAGCTTATAATTAACGTTTTGTATTGTTTGGCCAACTGCCTGGGCGAGGGGGGCTACATGGGCGGGGGGAAGCTGACTTAAGATTTGTGTCGCTTGGCAACCACAAAATATTCTTTTCAAAATATTTCAAAACCTAGAGCATACGTAACTGTAGCTGCTTTTCTTGTTGTTGTTGTTGTTGTTGGCGTGTCTGAGACCTTTTTCTGGCTTTTTTCTAGCTATGTGTGTGTGTGTGTGTGTGTGTGTGCTCGGCGTGGGAGTTTTGCTTTGTTTGTTTGTTTGCTTGACTCTTGTTGCCTGTGGCGCTGACTGAACTGAGTCTCGTTTGGACGTCTTTTTGGCTTTGCCTTGGCTTATTACCTAATCGCATTGTCTGCCCGCCTTCTGAGTGCGCAAAAGGAAAGAAAAATAAAAGCGTTAAGTAAATAGCTTGGAAAATGCGATCACAGTCGTCTTGCAGCAATATATATATATATTTTTGAATTGTTGACACGCTTTGCATTAGCCTTTGTGTCAATCAATGCTTTTTAGCGACTGTCCCAGCTGTCCCGCTGACTCATTGCCAGGCCAGGCCAGGGCCAAACGCCAACTGGTGCATTTCGGTTGGTCAAAAAAAGCAAAGGAAGGCGAACCAAAGATCACAATTCGATACCTACAAGCAAGCAAACAACAGCAGAAACTTGCATAATTTGTCAGCTTATGACAATCCTTTCTAAAAAGAGGCGTATAAATTACTTAGCCGTATCGCAAGTGAGCGCGTATTATATAACCTAACTGTAGCTGCACTGGAAATTGTATCGCGCATAGACACACACACACACACACACACACACACACACACACACATGTGGCGTATACGCAATATTTCAACAGTCGCGTTTGAAATTACAGTTAGCCGTACGCACAGCAATGCGCATGCGTGTAGCCCCGCAGAGCCCCAAATTGCGCAGACAAGCGCCTAGGCAAGGCGAGGCCGTGCGCGTCCACTTACTCGCCATGCCAAATTGTGGTCTTTATTGGGACGATTAAATCGGTTTCTTTTTTTGTTGGGTGTGTATTTAATGCAATTAATAAATTGCCGAGCAGCGCCGCTTAACTACACATTGGAGCTGCAGATTCCCACAGCGAATCCTCCGCAGACCGCGCGAAGGTCACTCGAAATTGCCAGCACAAAGTGTAACAAATTGTTTTCTTCTTCGTGTTTTTTATGTGAAACGAAACTTGAAAGAAAACGTTGCACATAAAATTCATTGCCACGCAATTATCGTCCACATAATTCACATGCTGAAAAATCAACGGATCGTAAAGAGAGGGCCGCGCACATTAAGACGCACAGACCCGCAAATGCACGCACATTAAAGTTGTTTCAATTTAAGTTGTAATTGTTGCAATTGTAACAGTGCAATGTAATTTATTTTCTGTTTTCCATTTTCAACAATTTCGGCTTTTTTTTGCGCTCTGCTAACGAGCGTGCGTATAATTAACCAATAAAATAAAAGTACATAGCAGTCGTGGCTTAAGTGAAAACAAAAGACTTAGGCAACAAACTCAGGTGTTAAATGGCAGCTAATGGAATTGTTGGGTCCGCTTAAACACAATTAATTACCATGGTTAAGGCAACTATACAGCACAAGCAGTAGCTTAACTCCTCCCTATTAGTTTGAATAAAATGCATATTAAAATTAAATTTAACAGAAAGACCTAGACAACGAACTTTGGGCTTTCAATTTAACTAGTAGAAATTTGGTATGACTAAAAAAAGCGAAAAAAGCTGGTTTAGGCTTAAGTAATAATGGGAATAATTTAATAGAAATTTATTAGGCAAATTCTGTTTAAAAATATTTTGAATAAAGTCCGGTAGAATGACTTAAGCAACAAACTCAGGCAGCAAGAGACAATAATAATTAAAGGAATAGTTAAAGGAACTAAACAAGCAAAGGAAAAGTTTTAATCGTATTAGTGTTCAAATATCATAAGTATTAAAATTGAATTAAATTTCTATAGAAAGACTTAGGCAACAAACTTGAGTTTTCAAATTTTACCATCGGAACTTTATGAACATAAATAATATCTGGTAGAGCTGATTAGCTTAAAATAACCAGGGCATTTATTTAATGGAAAGTTATTAAAGAAAGTTATTTGAAACTATTTTTTGAACAAGTCCAGCAGAAAAACTGAAGCAACAAGCTCAGATTTTACGCGAGCAACACTTAAAATGTTGACAAGAAAGAAACATTTAAGAAACTTGGCATATTTAGTTAAAAACAAAACAAATAAAGCAAATACTTGAATAAAGAATTTATAAAAAGAGACATACGAAAAAAAACATAGTAGTGAAAAGACAGGAAACCAATTTGTTGGACGGCTAAGAACTGTAAGCTTAAAATAAAAGAAGTAGCTTTAATATATTCTAATTACTAAAAAGAATAACTAAAGCCTAATAAAAGACTTAGGCAACAAACTTGAGTGTAAATTTAATACAGTATAAATTAATAAAATATGTATTTCAATTACTTTAAACACGATAATAAATTATATTTTCCTGGTACACTTGAGTTCTGCACATTTTCAACAAATTTCTGAAAGATAAAATAACTAAAGCATAATAAAAAGACTAAAGCAACAAACTTGAACGTTAATTAAATTCAGTAGAAATCAATACGAATTGGCATTTAATTATTTTTTCAACATATTTATATATTGTATTTTCCTGATACACTTGTTCTCAATATTTTCCTGGTCAACAATTTTTCTCAAGCTATATATGGCTTTATCTTCTATTTCATAATCTGAAAACATGTCTTATGTCATACATACGCCCAACTTTTAAGGAAATCAAAACGTTTTCAGCTGCTGGCCAAAATATAAACATTAAAAGAAAAAAAAAATGTTGCTAAAATTTAAACTGGGTAGCCAAGAAAACAGACACAATTTCTATGAGTGTGCATAATGAAACCACTTTTGCTGCGGCAGCGGTTAGCTGCACCAGATGCAGTTGAAGACAAGAGACAAGAGACAAGGCAACAAGGAGACAAGCGAAAAGCCATCCACATAGACATCAACAACGCATCGTTTCTTGGCGTTCATGTGATGTAATGTGGTGCTATAAAGCCAGACGTACACATGGCTACATCTGGCTTGGCATCTGGACTACTAACACCACAGACGGCAGACGTGGGAGAGGGGCGGAGAGAGGCAGGCTGGCGGGCAGGCAGTCGCCGTATGCAACACATGCTCCCATTTATGGCAGACAGTGCGGCCACTTTTGTGGCATGCAACGCATGATTATGTGGAGCACTAGGAAACGTTTCGCATTTAGCAACTGGCAACTGCCAACTGGCAACTGGCAAACCAATTTAAACGAATTGATGACTTCAGCTAATGACTTAACCAAGGCGTCGCTATCTCCCAGCCGGTGTTCGCTGTTAAGTCATGCTGATAAATGATGGGCCCAGGATTAACGTAATCAAACAGTAGCTGGCAGCAGTGACAATCCAGCAGACGACGTAGGCAGCAGCTGCAGCTGCCACAAGTACTTAACTCACCTCGAAAAGTTCAAAGGTGGACAACAAATTGGCAAAGGCCAGCCGAAACACAGAGAGACAGACAGACAAACAGACAGACAGCCTGACAAATTGCCAGCTAGAATGGCTGAAACAAATTGTACGAGCATTTCAAATGTGTAGGCAGTGGGCCATTACATAAGCACTCGCACTCGCACTCCCATTCGCATTCGCTTTATTAACTTATGCCTTAATTAGCGCCGCCTTTTAGCCATTGACTCAGCCATTAGCATTAGCCATTAACATTAACAACACCAGCTGTCCACCGATTCCACATCGAAAGTAAAAGTTTGCTTTGCCTTTGCTCTAGCTGTTGTTATTATTGCTATTATTTTTGTTATTTTGTTTGATATTGGTAACAGTTTTGCTTTCGATCGTAAATACCTCAATTAAATTGCATTGCGCGGGCACGTAACATTGGCCAAGCCGAGCCGCGCCGCCGGTCACCTGGCCCAGGTATGTGGTATCTGCCAGCGATGCGTATGCGCCGCCGTTGACATTCAACCAGGTTGGCCAAGTTGTGTGCGCTTACTAAATGGCGCTCAAATTGAACCCGCTGCTAAAAAGTGAGCAACTAAACAACAAAACCAGCAGCGACACATCTTCATTTTATACCCTTTCCCAGGGGGTACTTGTAATGTTTGATGCCCAAAAAGCGAAATGTGCAGCTCCTTAAATGGAACTGTGCACATTCATATGTGAAAATATTCAACTTGTGTATAATTTATATGATAAACTGGAGAAACAAACATTTCTCTGGGGACACCTAGCTTGACATCCATAATTTATCATTCTGTCTGACTAAAAAATAGCTGCACATGCTGAGCTATTTGTTTGATTAGCTTATTTAAAGTTATGATAAAAGATGATCTTTTTGATTAACTTTTTTGTTATATGCCAATAATTCTTAACTTTGTAAGATTCTAGGCTACTTGTTTCGCTTTAATTAAAAGACAATTCACTTACCCATTCTTCAATATCTTTGGATTCCCTTTAAGAAATGTCATTAGCAAGGAACATGTCCGCATTCTTCAGCTCCGAGAATTGAAATGAATCCAAGCCTCCTCATTTTGGCTCTTCAGTTATTATAGAAATATCTTTGTGGTATGTCATTATGGAATATCGTAATGGGACATCAGCTGGCCATATTTATGGAATATCATAATGGGACATCAGATGTCTCTGGATCTTAACAGAGTATCGTTGTGTCGACCAATGGCTATCAAAAATTTCGACAGGTAACTAACTGCACTTCTTGGCTGGAGCTTACGACTCCCAGCTTCCAGCTGCCAGGTCTCAGCTCTCAGCTCCCAGCGCCCAGCTGTGTCTCAGGCGTCTTGCCATTACCTTATAACTTGTTTCTGGTCTTGGTCTGGTGTCTTGGTCTTGCATAACGCGTCGCTGGGCTGCCGCAGTTGTTGCCTTCTTTGGCTGCAATTTGGCGGCATCTTCGCTGCATCTTCTGCTTTTGCTGTTGTTGTTGTTGTTGTTGGTGTCATTGCTTGGCAAAAGGTTTCGCGCAAAATCAAATATTTTTCCCGCGTTTTGCGCATTGAGGTTGCCACAAAAGTTTCCCATATCATAAAGTCTTACTTATTGATGGCATGACTTGGCTACTCTGATTGCTATTGCCAATTTCTCTATTTGTTTGTTGCAGACGCAATCGATGCTTGGCCCTAGTCCTGCTGGCCATGGGTCTGTGCGCCTGCGCACATGCTGCCGCCACGGGTGCACCCACAGCCACGGCCACCACGGAGAAGCCGAAGGGATTTTCCGCACGCTCCCTGGATGTGAGTGCCAGCGGCGATGATGAGGATGAGTTTGAGACGCAGGCACAAACACATTTGGCCTATCGCCAGCCGCAGCAGCAACAGCAGCGACCGCTGTACGAATACAGCGAAGAGGATCAGGAGGAGGCGCCGCGCCAGGTTTACGTCAATCGCAACAATGCCAAACAGCAGAACAATTATCTCAAGAAGCGGCCGCTGAGCGAGGAGAGCGAGGAGGAGGAGGAAGAAGTTGAGGAGCCCGATCGTCTGTCCACGCTGCTTAGCAAGTCCTCATTCAGCTGCACGGATCGCAACTCTGGGTAAACACAAGGAAAACATTTATTAAGCTCGTCAATTGTAATTGTCAATGTTTCCCAACAGCTACTATGCGGATGAGTCGCTGAGCTGCGAGGTGTTCCATTACTGCCAGGAGAGTCAGAAGCATTCGTGGATATGCCCCGAGGGCTTCACCTTTCATCAAATCCATTTGATTTGCATGCCCCCATCGCACGACAACATCTGCAAGCAGTCCTCCAAGTACCATATTGTCAATGACTATCTGTACAAGCCAATCAATCTGCAGGAGCATCAGAGCAAACCGAATGTAACGCTGCGCTACTCGGAGCGCTATTTCCCAGAGAACTACTACGAGCACGAGCGCTACGACGACGAGGAGGAGGAGGAGGTGCAGCCCGCGCCCAGGCCACGCATACAGCATCAGCAGCAGCAGCCACAGCAGCATCGTCAGGCGCTTGCTTATCAACCGCAGCCGCAGCAGCACCAAGTGCGCGTCCAATACCAACAACAGCCGCAACAGCAGCAGCAGGTCGTCACACAGATACGTCACCAGCAGCCGCAGCCCACGACAATCGCCTATCGGAAGCCATTGCCCACGACAACCATACAGCCGCAGATACAGCCACAGCTGCAATTGCATCAGCTGCATCAGCATCATCAGCAGCAGCAAAGGCCGCAGACGCTGGCGCCCACAGTGACACCGGCGCCACAGTATCGCTTCTTTACGGCCGCGCCGCTACAGCATTTGCATCAGCAGCAGCAGCAGGTCTACCGTACGCCCGAAGAGATAAATATATCGCTGCAGCAGCGCCGGCCACAGGTGTTCATTGCCTCGACAACGCCGCGCTACTATGAGGACGAGTACCTGTACGAGCGAAGGAAGTGAGCATCATGAGTTGACCGTCTCGTCTGGCCAGCTGGTCGCACTCAATGCAAACAGTCTTGTCGTTCCACGCCTTGTGTTTTGGAGTGTTTCTCTTTAGCTTTAAGCTCTGTCAGCGCCCTTTGTCACTAGACACAGACACACACATGTATATGCTATAACAACAATATAGTCCCAAAATTTAGCGCGAGTTTTATGTACCTTATTTGTAATATTTAATGTCCTGCTAGAAGAATCCGCCTTCTAACTCATTTCGTTAATAAAGAAGCAACATTAAGTTTAAGGCCATCATTGTATGTCAATCTCCATATACTGATCCGCGTTGGATAGCTGCAACGCTTGGCTCTTGGTGCCCTCCTCCACCACATAGTTCGGTCCAATCAGGCAGTTATTGAGCACAGAGCCGCTTTTGACCTGGGCACGATATCCAATGATGCAGTTATTTATGTTGCAGCCCTCCTCGATTATCGCATTGGCCATAATGATGGAATTGGTCACAATATTCTTCGGATGCACAATACAATTGGGTCCAAAGACGCTGAAGTTAAGCGACGTTTTCTCCGACAACTTGGCATTGTCGGCCACAATGATGTCCTTGGTTTGCGTTGACTTGACTACTGCACCGGGTGAGATCAGGGGATGCGCATCGCCACACAGTTCCTGCCAGATGCCGGCCAGCTTGCGATTGATGGCCAGGAAACTGAGCGTATTATTGACACGCACGCCAATGGCATCCTTTGACGCCTGCACCGCAAAACAGCGCACAACATCGCCGTGGTAGGGTATGTGCGATAAAGATTGATTGAACAGGGAAGTCTGTGTGAGCTTCTGGTCCAGCGCCGTGTGCGTCACATACTTAACACAGATTTGTGTAAATGGGCTTTGATTGGGGAGCTTGCAAATGATATGAAATAATCGTATAGCTTACATGCAAAATGTTATCCTCATGCTTTGTTCCGACGCCCAGCTCAGAGGTGGTATCGGGCGCTATTTTCGTTGAACGCCTGGCATGTTGTTTTCGAATGAGATGCGGCAAGAATTCGCCCTTAAATGTTGAAATTTGTTCCTTCTGCAATAAATAAACTTTAATAAGCAATACTACTTTTGCATTATGTCACATTTAATATACCCTGTGCAGATAGTTAATCACCCACTTCTTCAGCACATAGATGTGCGCATCCAGCAGGCGTCCATAGACATCCAGTTGACCTTTATTCTTGAGCAGATGCCGTTTGATATTTAGCGTATCCTCGCAGTCGCTGGCAGCAAAAATAAATGCCAAACGCTGCGTGGCCGTATGGATGCCGATCATGTCGCGCTCTGGCTTATACTTGGTCTTGGGACCTGGCATAACCACATCCGATTCAAAGCCACTTTTGAACAGCAGCAGCGCCAGTGACGCATCATCCGCACGGAACTTGTTGATCAGCGGATATAAACTGACATTGCTAACTATATCACAGCTGACAACTAGAAAGTCTGATTTGATTCTGAAAGAGAATATCACACATTATATACTAGAATAATAGAAAATTGATGCTAGAACTTGAGCGGCGACCTCTCGCTTCTTAGACCGGCGCGCCAACCCAAATCCCTCAGGCGCATCACGTTCGCGAAGCACACCTATACCTTTTAGCCCTACTAGCTTTAGTACAAATTGCTTTTGCGTAGCTCCTATGGTGCAATAATCGCTCACCTGTCGTATATATAGCGCAAGCTGTCGGCTGTGCCGAAATCGCTGTCATTGGGCACCGTGGCATAGTCGATTTTGACTTTAAGTGGCGTGTGCTCCAATGACAGTTGAATCTCCAGCTTATCCTGCTCCTGAACCACAACGATTACCTCTACAAAAAAAACACAAACAACTGCTTTAAGTACGCCTAAACTCTTAGCCCAATTATTTACCTGTGAAGTTGTGTCTGCTCAGCATGTTGAGTGGATACCATATCAAGGGATAAGGTCCCACGGGCAGCAAACACTTGGGTGAATCGCCCAGCACTTCAGGCAGGCGTGTGCCACGCCCCGCAGCTAAAACTACAGCTTGAAATTCATAATTTGGCATTTTTATGCAAAAAATTATAATATATTTCAAATATGCCAACACGCGTGAACAACAGCGAAAACGCAACACAGCTGTTCGAGCAGCAATTGGCGTTTACCAACACTGTCGCCCAAGGGCCATATGTTGCTGTCACATGACTGCACTTGCATTGTTTTTGCAATTGTAAAAAAGTAGTCAGATGACCCATTTTTTTCCATAGATTCCCATAATTTGATGCACTTTTCATCTGAATTACAACAATTATGATGCTCCATGAAACAACAAAAGACTTTAATGCATGATTTGAGCGCTACATAACTACAAAATGGAATACATACATTTTTCTTATTGGAATTACACTATAGACTTTAAGCTTACAAAGTTTGCACGTAGCTACATACAATAAGTTTTTTTTTGTTTTTTCGCGAAGTAAAATGGAAACGGAACAAATAATTAATCAATTTTTTTTGTAACAATAACATATTGCTGGAATACACACACGTATACGCATGCTATAGGATTAATACTTAGAAGAGCACATCATCATCGCCCTCATCGAGTATGTTCGCCTGTTCGCGCACATCGATGCCCTGCTGAAGGAGTTCAGCCTTTTTGGCATCTGCCTTGGCACGGGCCTCACGCTTCTTGTCCTGAATCTTTTTCAAACGATAGAACTCCTCACGCTCCAGCTCGTCCAGCTCCGAAATGATGTAGGCCAGTGTACGATCGATACGCGGTATGATGACATGCTCGATGGCATTCACACGACGATTTGTGATCTTGATGACCTCGTCCAGTGTGACGAATGACGTTTGCAGCGAAGCCAGCTCGACGAGCAGCTTGACGGCGCTCTGGTAGTTCTTCTTTAGCTTGGCCAGCTGCTGGCCACCGCGGGCCAGGCCAGCCAGCTCATAGGTATCGGCACCATCCTGATAAGACTCGAAGACGGGCAGCGTAACGCCAGCAACGTTGTCTTTTTTGGTGCGTATCTTGATTTGTGCCTTGGTCACGTTTTGCAGCACCACCTGATTGATGTCACCCGATGTGAACTTGGCCTCGGCCAACGAAAAGGCAGCCTCTTTCATAACATCGCCCATCAGAGTTTTCGTCTCAATGATTTTACCCAGAATCATACGGAAACGCATTTGCAATGCATCAGCTTTTTTCTTGAGCAGGCCGTGACCTTTTTGGGCGCCAGCGAGACGTGCCTTCATTAACATTTGGGCACCACGCGACGGGAAAATCGGTAACCTATCTTTGCCAGACATTTTCGTATTATTTTAACTGTTGTAAGGGCTAATTACTCGACTTTTTAACTGCGCACAACAATTTTGCACACCCGTCGAAGAACACTGAAAAACTCCAACTGGACTGGATAAATACAGTGTTGGTTAAGGCCACAGTAAATGGGATAAAGTGCTGCAAAATACACACAGTAGCAGCTACTGTCACGGTTGCCAACACGGTTGCAGGAGAAAAGGTTTATTTCTACCAGAAATAAAAAATATGTGCAACATTTATCTTAAATGAAAAGTTACTATCTTATAAAGGTATTCGTTTACATTTTTGGTACATTTTACTAAAACCAGTGTACTCATTTATAGTACTGCACAACACATCGTAGCAACAGTGCTGTGCAGCAATACAATTAAACAGCTGTTTGGTAAAAGCTGTAAACAAATCGAAGGCGCCCTCAGCAAATTTCTAAATAATGCAAATATTACAACGTTTGTATTGGTTGCCGGCTACACCAATACAAAGCTATTTCCGACACTACTCCAAAAAACCAAAAATCGGCATGGCGAACAACCGGCGCATGGTGCACCAAGAGTTGTTGCGTTATGTAAACCCCTGTGCACGTATTAATATTAAATCGGACATATCCGTGCTTGTGGAGCCTGCTGATGTCCATGTGCACACCAGTGGCAATGTGTTTATAGCACAGCTGCTCGGTGGTCCAGTGTCCAACTGCAAAGCCACGCTGGATGTGGACGTTTGCGATGATGACAAGGTCGTGAATGTATTGGTCAAAAAACTAACCGAACCAAACTCGCATTTTAAATGCCATGTGAAAATTCCTGTACAAGCCGAGGTGCACATTGACGCGGACGCCAAAGTTACAGTACAGGGCATACAAGGCGTGGCACTAAAGATTAAGGCATCCGGGGACATAGTCACCAAGAACGTGCGCGCCACAGACATTTCACTACATAGCGAAAATGGCAACATCATCTGTGAGGGCACGCTGCTGGGCAAGTGCACAGAAATCGAAACACACAATGGGGTAAGAAGCTGTCGTAACTGTCCATATTTGCACTATATGATTGTAAATTATGCCTAACAGAACATCAATCTGGACAAGCTGCAGGGCGACAGCCTCAAATGCTCTACACAAGCTGGCGACATTAATACAGATTGCTGTTATGTGGAGAAATCCAAGTTTGAAACAACAACCGGGCGCATGGAGCTTAAGAATGTGCACAAAACCAGCGAAGTGTATGTGCACCAATCGGGTGACCTAAAGATGAGTGAGTTTTTAGTGCTATAATCCATCCAATCAATCCAATCATTTATACCTTGGCTTGTTTTCCAGCTGGCGTACATGGCAACCTGAGCGTGGTTACCAAGGGCGGCAGCATGAATCTGCAGCTGTCCGAGCTGAATGGCAAAAGTGAGATTGTGGCGCAGAATCTCATAGACGAAGCCATCATCAACATATCGGAGGCCATTGAGAATATTACCATAGAAGTAAAAGCTAGTCAGGTTAATCTAAACAACGAGCTGGAGCATGTGTCCCACGCACTGAGCGAAGACAAAAGTAAATTCCTGCTGAACAATGGAAAAGAGCATCATTTAGTCATCAGCAGCACCGGGGAGAATGGCGTGCGCCTGGGCAAGCAGTCCTGGACCGATTCATTGCGTCAAAAAATAAAATTAGGTGAAACAAATTAAGGTTTAACCAATAATCCTAAGCTAGTTTCTTTTATGTGTATATAAGTATAAGTATGTATTTATGTATGAATTGTGCATATGTGCAACAATAATCAGTCCTGTTTATGAGTATTATTATTTGGCTTGGCCAGCTATGTCATTTAAAACCGCGCTGAGGCGCTGATGTGCCCTCTGAAGGAGCACATCTTCGACCTGTTCCGCTTGCAAAGTAGCGCGCAACATTTCCACTTTGATGGCATCAATTTCTTGTATATCCTTCGCCAAAACTGGGACGTCAGCTCTGACGAGCATATGACCCAGCAGGCGTAGCAGTTTGAATGCATTTTCCTCGTACTGCGAACGTGGCTCATCTTCGTAGGCATCAAAATCATTTTCATCGTATTCGGCATAGTCTTCAATGTGCCGTCGCAGAATTGACCAGACGCTGAGCAGATGAGCAAAAGCTGCCTTGTCATAGAAGTATTTCAGACACTGAAAATGAATTGAAGCGGAATTTAGTTAGGATTACAATTTATATTGTTTTCAATACGCACGCTGCATATGTGGGCCAAGTCCTCTAGGTATTCCTCCTGTCGCTCGCCCAGTGGCAGCAGCTGCATGGGCTGCTGCAGAAATTGTAAAATGCGGGTCAGACAAAACATAATGCTGGAGGCATATAGATCCATGGATAACTGCGCTTCTGGCAGCTGCACTAATATGGTGCATATATTGAGGTAGGTTTGAATTACTTCGATTTCGCAGTTTATTTTTGGTGTGCTCGACTCGTCGCCATCCTCATCCGCATCGGTATCATCAACGCCGGCTGGTGCCTGCTCAGCCGAAACGCTATCGACCTCATCTGTTAGCTTCGCCAGATCGTCGCGCATGAGACGCACAAAAGCATTATTGACGCCATCGCACAGCTCAGGCACTAGAAACACTTCGGAGAAGGGTTTCAGCTTAATGTCTGGCGTTTGGGCGTTCTCCTCTTCCACCAGAGCACAGCTGGCCAGCACAGCATTAATGGCCTTAAGCGCAGCTATCAGCAGCTCATCGCTAACAGATTGCTGCAGTATGAAGCCGAGATTCTTTGCTGAGCTATCGAAGGCGGCAAAGCAAATGTACCAATCGATGGCCAGCTGCTCCTTGCCGCTGACCACATGCGCCATGACATACTGATAGACACGCATCAGCTGGAGCAGCATGCATGTGTCCATGCAAGTGCTCAGCTTTAGCAGCATCTCAATCCAATCCGCGTGTGCCGTCAGCTGCTCCACACATTCCACCTGCGCGCACATGTTGCCCAGCAGTCCAATAAGTATCTCATACAGGCGAACATCTTCACTCGATGAGATGGCAAACATGATTAGCTCGATGGCATCATTCTCCAGTAGCAGGGCGACAACTTCCGGCGAGACAGACATATCCCACACCTTGCACAAATCATCCTCCAGCTCCAACCCCAATGCTGTCTGCGCTGGCTGCTGGCTGAGACGCATCAGTGTCTGCAATATGAACTTTTTGCTGTACATTGTCTCGCCAACGGCATCACCACGCATGCGCTTAAGCAGTTCGTTCTCATCAGCATCTGCAGCATCCTCATTGTTTTGAATTCCGTTGGGTTGGGGCGAATTTGACTCCGACTTATTTTCACCGTTTTGCGTGCCATTCGACTCCGATGCGGCACCATCGTTTGGTTTGTTTTCTGACCGAAGCGGCATCTTGTTTTCATCATTTACCACTGCACCAACATTATCTATTTCCGCGCTGTCCACATCTTTGGTCATCTTGGCTGGTGTCTGGCAGAGTTCCGGAATAAGTTCGATCGAACGATTCACTAAACTGAACAAATGAACCAATTTAGCAGTTCATCCACTTCGATACACATAACATTTTCTGTTAATGTTTAAAAGCTTAGCAGCGTTACTGAACTGTTAATAACAGCGTGCACTACTGTGCGGTTATTCGTTTTTAGGATTTGTTAAAAACATATTTGAAGTAGATTATAAATATAACGATATTCAACTGGTGTCAAAATATTTTTCCTAATTTAGTTATCAAACTAATACTCCCTTAGGATAACTCTATACATAAGTCGTATATTATAAATTTATTCTAAGCGCTGTCTTTTAATGAACACATCCAGTAAATGGGAGATGGGAATTTCTGTGGAGGGTTGCGCCTGCGGAGGCGCAACATTATTCCGATGTTGAGGAAATGTTGGCATCATGCGCGGATCACAAGCTAAAAACAAAAATTGTTTACAATATGCAATGACTTATTGGTTGTAACGACTTACGCTGCGGCGGCTCAGTAAAATATTTACTGCTTAAACATTCGTCGGCGGTGGCTCGAGTGCTGGGATTGTAGATAAATAGAATGTTTAGCAGACTTCTGCCCGCTTGGCCGAGCATTTGGAATTTGGTTTTCAGATTATTGTAGGGCTGCTGGCTGAGCGTAAAGTTTTGCACAGCTGGCAAGTCCAGGAAACCTGGCCAAATTGATTCGGAGGGTGCACCAAGCAGATCAATAATCATGTCAAGCTGTGCAATCTCCGAATTGCCCGGCAGCAGCGGTTTGCCCAGCAATAGCTCGCCGAGAATGCAACCAAATGCCCACATATCAACGGCTGTGGTGTGCGTCCTTGCGCCGAGCAAAAGCTCCGGCGCACGATACCATAGCGTGACCATTTGCGGTGTCATAGGCTTCGGCGGATTGCCGTACAGACGCGCCAGACCGAAATCCGCTGTAACAATTGAGAATGATTAGATCTATAAATGGGAATAAAGTCAATTCGCGACTTGCCCACTTTGATGCAGCCCTTGTCCGTCATCAGCAGATTGGAGACCTTCAGATCTCGGTGTATTATATAGCGGGCATGCATGTACTTCAAAGCACGTAGCACCTGTAGCGTTATGCACTTGACCTCAGATTCGGTAAACGGTTGCGACATATTGTCCAGCACCGACGCCAGATCCTGTTCACAAAAGTCCATTACCAGGAAAATGCTGTGTGTGGGATGACAATATTTACAGGAACTGGGAGCTTTAGCTAATTACGTTTTACACCGACCTGTCGAGGCTTTTGCCTACAACAACTTCCCGCAATCGCACAATGTTCTCGTGCTGGCAACGCTTTAATATCATTATTTCACGCAGACCACTGACGGGCAAGCCATCCTTTTCCTGATCCATGCGCACCCGCTTCAGGGCCACGATTTCGCCATTGCGTGTGTCGCGTGCGCGATCTAGAGTATAGATAAGAAATGAAAGATTCGGCAAAAATTTGCAATCAATACAACGAGATTTGCACTCACAAACGATACCATAGCTCCCCTCTCCCACGCGGTTAAGCTTCTCAAATTCGGATACGGGACGGCATCGTCCATACTGAAAAATACAACAAATTGTTTATTAAAGCCGGCACCAGCCAAATGCATACTTTTTGATACAAACCACATTTTGTTCCGGTATCGGCATGGGCGTGCCGCTGTTCTTCAGTGATATCAGAAAGCCTTTGCGTGTTATGGGCGCTTGGGGATCTGGCGCTGGATTTTTTTCCAATTCACTTGATTTCTGCCCGCTAGACATGTTTATTTATTTTCAAGAATGGTTGCCCGACATGAAAACACAAACAGCCCAAGTATCGATACTTTTGCAACTCCCGCAAGAATGCATAGGGCTGCATTAAAAGTGTTATCAAAATGGGCGCGGACCGTTAGGAGTATCGGTAGTCAAACAAAAAAAAAAAAATCATTCTTCAATGGTATAAAATTCGCTCATGTTAATTATTAAGAAGAAAAAACTGCGTATGCATTTCATAATAGCAGCCAGCTTATGGGAAATTTGAGCGGGGTGCGTAAAAACAAAAGTGGCTAGAAAATCAAGCACGATTTATGAAAGTGAAATTGCGCCAGTTTAAAGAAATTTCGTTAGCATTTCATTTCAAATGCATGCTCCAGACATTAAAAGCGACGACTAACGCTTGCCAGCAGCCTGTCATCGATCCACATCTACGCATGTGTTAAAATCTTTGGATAAAGCCCCAAACGACTCCACCATCAATTATCACCCTGAACTTGGAATAAACAGCAACAAAGCTCTTGAACGGGCCGATATAAATGTTGGAAGCGGCGCTGAGTGCATCATCAGTTCTGCAGCAGCTGTGCCAATACACACGTGCCAACCGAAGACGCCGGAATATACATATACACAGTTAAGCAAAATGAATAAAACTACAATTTGGTATGCAGCTGTGCTGCTTGTGGTCTACTTCACATTGGTGTTCTGTGAGGAGACGGCAGAAGCAGGAAACGCGGAAACTCAAATCATGAACACGAACTCGGATATGGAAACGGATACGGATACGGAAACGTTATTTAACACTGGCCGAGCACTGTTGGAATTCGAAGGACGCACACGTCGCCATGGCCATCGCTTCTGGTGTAAGTTTTGTTTCTTATTCGCAAATAAATACAATCTATTACTATGTAATAGCTGGAGCCGTAATAATTAGCACTCACTCCCATTCTAAGCTGTTTTATCAGAGCCAAAAGCTGGGTGCACCTGCTAATCAGCACTCGGAGACTTTCTTTCGAAAGTTTCCAAATATATTTATCTCTCACTCTCAATTCCCACCAATTGGATCATCACGATCTGCATGTGCCGTTCAAGTGATTAACACTTTTCACTTTCAATCTGAGCATATATTAAACAATTGTGAATTGTCGTAGATCGCGTCCAAGTGATCTTCCACTGGGTTCTGTGCGTCTCCAGTGAAAGTGTTGCCTTAGCTGTTATCTAATCGGATGTGTCGTTTGTTACAGATCGTCACCTGTGGCCCCTGGCCATTGCCTATTGGATTAAGGTGAAAGTGGTTATAGTCTCCTTCTTTCTGGGCAGCGCCATTTACTTGGGCCTGCGCTACTTTTGGCCACATGCCCGATGCAATCAAGAGATAATTCTGGATCATCCGTAAGCATAGAAGCAGCCTGTTCATAAAACAATATTTACTTTATTCTCGATTCAGTCCTTCATCCTTTGGCCACGATCACATTCCCTACTCACTGGATCATCATTCGGAGCATGAGCATTATGATGCACCCAGCTCGTATGACTCGAGTCCCTCGTTTGATCCCTACTCCGGCTACTCCAGTTACTCTGGCTACTCATCCAGCTCGGATATTATGTCCGACGTTCATGGCGATTCACCTACCGGTACCACGGGACCCACCGGCCCCTCGGATACGCGTCGTCGAGGCAGACGCAGCATCGATATTCTTGATGTCGACGAGGATAATGTTGCTGTCGAGCAGGAGGAGCCAGTGGAGATTATTGATGAAGAGATTTCCGAGAGCGTAGCACGCCAGCAGCCCGCCGAAGAGCAGTGAGTAGCCGTTGGATATCATCCAATTTGAGCAGTCTTCAATCTATTTTGATTTCATAGAATCGCCGAATTTATGTTTGCCTTTTTGGGCTTGGACTCCAAGGCCTGCCGCCGCCGTTTTGTCTGTGAGATGGAGTTCCGCTCCAAGCTGAACCCGCTGTCGAGCATGGCATTCCGCATAGTGGGTCGCGGCTTCTTCGAGAAGTACACAAATGCGCGCAATCCACAGACGAGAGCTACTAATTTCCTAGAATGTGCCGCCGTGAATCCCGAGTGTGTTTTTGTTGAGAACACCGAGCCAGAGATTACGCCCGCCGAAGAAGTAGAGGCTACTGCTTCCACCGAGGCAACTGAGCAGGAGAACACGGTGGAAACGCAGAATGAAGTGAATTTAGAGGCTGAGCGCCGCCATGCTCAGCAGAGGAAGCGTCGCGGGGATCGCATGCTCAGCTCGATTGCCGAGCACATTCTGACGCAGTAGAAGAGTCCTAGGGCCGTGTATTTATTTATTTATTTAATTATTTATTTTAGCTATAAGAGTGATGAATGAAACTAAACATGCACAGAATAAACTTGCCTCAGCTATTAAACAAAACAATTATACAATTATTTGTTCCGTAAAATGCAATTAAACAAATGCTAAATTTTCACTCAAGGCGCAAGTCTCCTACTTCAGCAAGGAAAGAGTATAAAAAAAACTAAATAGAAAGAAAACAATTACCGAATACCGATGGTGACTAAAGTCTTAGGCCTGGACTGGACTAGATCTTTTTGACCTTTCTCTTTTTGATGGCATTTATCTGATCGGCCATTTGCTCGATCTCTCGCTGATTAATGGGCTCATTTTTTCTGACGCTCGTCTTGCCCTTTTGCTGCTGCGTCAAGTCGGCGACGAGGTCGCTCAGCTTGGTCCACACGAAGCTGAGGAAATTCACAGCCAAATCCTGCTTGAAGAAGGCAATGGCCACCAGCGCAATTAGCACCAGCGCAGATATGGAATTCTGATTGAGATCTGCTTCAGTTGCGCGCACCTCCGCATTGAATTCCAGCTTCATATAGACGGAGCATCTGTCGGCAACAAAGCTGAACGAGGGCAGCTTGTACGAGTACGTCTTGTCCGACAGCGTCGATTGCAGCTCCACCACATAGCTTTTGCCGTCGCGCGGTATGCGCGGGAAATACACCATGATGCCGGGATTGAAGCTAGCCTTGGGATTCAAAGGGGAGGCCACGCGCTGCGAGAACACAGGCGAATCGGAGGCGCCATGTCTGTACATCACAATTCGCAGCGTCTTGTAGAAGTCATTGTGCGAGGCCACAATGCGGGCCGTAATGTCCACAATCTTTATGGGATTAATGGCAATCAGATTAATGTTGCGCACATCCTCATTGGCGACAGTGATCGTATGATTTTCGGGTATGGAGCGATCTACTTTTTCATCGTCCGTCAAAACCCGCACCGTATACGTGCAGCCGGGCTGTAGGCCGCGTATGCGATATTGGCCATTATTCTCGCTGGTCGCTTCCTCTACCTGGTGCTGGCAGCTCTCAGTGGCGGTGGCCTGCACATTGACCTCTGCAAAGGGCTCACCATTAAGGGATGTAATCTGGCCAAAGATGGAATAGGCAAATCGCTTGCCACTGCAAAAAGGATAAACGAATTATAGCTGAAGATATTGGTCTAAAAGGTGGCGATGGGACTTACGTTAGGGTGACCTGCACGGTTTCACCATCCTTGATGTCAATCATTTTGGAATTGGGCTCAAACTTGTATTCCTTCATCATGGGCCGCAAAAAGTACTGCGATGGCGATAGGGAATGGAAATTGATGGCACCATCGTCGCCGGCGACCAGATTCTTGCGATAGCTTTCGCCGCCGCTAAGCGAGAGCAGTACACCGCTGAGCGGTTGGCCGGCATCGTCCTGCACCTTGACCTCAATCTCGCAGAGCTTGTGTGCACTAAACGAATTCGACTGGCGATCGTACTCGCTGAACACATACGACTCTTTTTCAGCAGTGAGCTCGAATTTCAGCGAATCGTCGATGGGTCCGAATTTGAATTCGCCCGTTATCGAGGTGAGCGTCTCAATGGACTCACGTGCCGGTTGCTCGGGAAAACTGAGCGTTATCTTGGCATCCTTAATAGCGGGCACGACCTTGCCGCGCAATATGAGCCCGCGTGTGGCCACAAAATTGAAAGCAATGTCCACGCAATCACTGCTGCCCACCACCTGCTGATGCTGCGGGCTAAAGAGCAGCACATCGCTCAGTGGCTTTATGTTGAGGACTTCGTCTGGTTTAAGATATGTTTCATAGCGATATGCGTATTTGCCATCCACTTTATGTGATTCAGCTGTGGGCGCTATAATTTGCCTGCCAAGCGTTTCCGATTCGACAGCAAGTCTGAGTGAATCTGCATTTGGTTCTGGGGACAGGACACGCACGCCCGTCTTGTGCGCAATGGCATTGACAATCAACGTTTGCAGCTGATCTGGTTCAGGTGTGATGAATTTACTGGGCAGCGAATCATCATAAATGTGACAGCCCTCCAGCTTAAAGTCATAGCTGCCGTATTTGGAGACGCAGAACGTGTTGACGCCCGAGAGGATCTTGAGCGTCTCAACGGGCGCCTTGGGCTCAGAGGGCCCTGTTACGTGAACGTATCGCATCTACAAAATGGTTAGATGATATAGAAGTAAGCTCTGCCAGGTGTTTAACAAGTGTCACCTACCAGAGCGCGATGGCTAGAAATTATGGACACTTCGTAGCCCTTGTGTATCAAAGGCGGCGCATGCTCTTCCGCAGCGGCGACATTTAGAAAGACGCGCGTAGATTCATAGCATAGATTTCCCTGTGGAATTGTAATTTCATATGGCCCAGGCAGCACATCCTTAAAGGTATACTTTCCACCTGAAAGCAAGAGATATGTTAACTTATGAATACATATTTAATTTGTACACATACGATGCGCTCTGGCCTTCCATTTGTTGTCCGTTGGCTGGCCGGTGGCGTCCAGACCCTGCAGCGTTACCTCAGCCGCTGTGCAGGTGGCCGTGGCATCCGGCAGGCACTGCAGCTCGCCACGTATGGTGGCGCGCAGCTGTGAGAAGGTTATGCCATTGACCGGAGCATCGAGCACTTCGGCCCGCTGCTGCACAGGAAAGAATTGAATGCCGTTTGATTTGTCCGCATCCGTGGTGAGCACCTCAACGTTGTATTTGCCAGCGGGCAAATAGGCGCACCAGACGCCGCTCTCTGCCTTCGTCGTGGTGGTGGTGTGAAAGGTGGAGCCAGTTTTTGTGATGCCCACAACATAAGATTTGGGCGAGACAACTTTGCCGCACACTTCATAAGCAGCGGGCACAATTGTGGGCAATGTGGGCGAAGATATCTGCGTCTTCACCTGCAGCGGCTCAAATTGCAGCTGCGGATATTCGACTTCAATGTTGTAGCTGCTGGCTTTAATGTTCTCCAGCGTGTAGCTGCCCGTGGCGTCCGTCTCGGCTACCTTTTCATTGTTCACCTTCACTACGGCGGATTTAAGTGGTGCGCCGCCAGCAGAGCTCAGCACCTGACCCGTGACAGTAAAGCCGCTAATCGAGAACTGCTCCTTCAGCTGCAGCGTGTCCTTGCCCAGCTCTACTTCCAAGAATTTGGGCGTGAGATGCAGTTTCAAGTTCTGATTCTCATTGACGGCCTGCAACAAATATTTGCCAGTGGGCACATCCTTGAAGCTGTATTCGCCCTTCTCCGCCAGCACATAACAAGCGGCAGCGCTCTCGTACTCATTGTTTAACTTATTAGAGGGCGCATTGGGGATTGTCGCGCACTTGGGCTGAAGATTTTGCTGTGGGTGGAAAGTAGAGAATGTATTAGATACTATAATTCGTGAGAATTGCATAGAAGGGCAGTATTTAAATTTTAAGTCTACGCATATATACATACATGCACACAAAAGAGAACAAATAATACTTGTAAACAATACGTGAAAATTGTAAGGCTACCTTGAATTGATGAGAATCGCGTAGGAGGGCAACAACTAAAAATACGTTATTTTGAATTCGCATCGGAATGGGGCATGTTACCGCAAAAGTAAAGTAAATTTGGTTTATGCAAACATATCTACCTGAATATGGCGTATTATTTGGGACAACAAATTTGATAAATCTTCAACTGATCAGCTACTTACGCCCTTTTTCTTGTAGAGCACCACAGCAATATTGGCTGGCAGCTGGGTGCTGACATCGAAGCGTCCATTGATATCGAAACCGGAGACCACCAACGAGTTCTGCGGCAGTTCCGTGTTGCCGCTGACGACGACCACATTATGCTCCGCCTTGGCGAAATGCCACCTGGCGTGTGTGGCGCGTACCACATATTTGCCGGGTATGATGGGCGTAAAGAAGAAGATGCCATTGATGTCCGTTTTGGTGCGTCGAATCTCGCCCTGCTCCGACTTAAGCTCAACATCTACGTCACGTGCACCGCTGCCAGTGGCGAGGGCCACTTTGCCGGTGATGCCAAAGCCCTTGAATACAAAATTAACGTCTTTGCCCTGACTGCACACGTCATTCTTCCCGTCAAAATTGAGCTCAACGTGTTCGGGCTCAAAGCTCCAGCCGGGCGGCGGGGCAATGGTCAGCAGATACTCGCCCTTGTCGTAGATGGGTAGAAAATAGTAGCCATTCGAGGGTGAGCAGTCGGTTTTATCTTTTAGCGAGCCCTGCTTGGTTAAGCTGCGGCCAGAGTAAAAATTTTATCAGTAATTTATGAAATTATTTATGATAATCTCATTTACGTACAGTTTTATTTCCACCTTAGAAAAGTCAATATCGGCATGGCTTTTGATGAAACCACCACAGCCGATCACTTCGCTCGACTGTGCGTTTGTTTGGCTAATTATATTAATTAAAATTAATATAAAGCCGGAAAACAGACTTGCCGACCTCATTTTTTCTCATTCGACTTTACGCTGCCAGCTGAAAGTGCAGAGCTGTCGAGTTTGTTGGCGCACAGGTTTGATTGGCAGCGATATCGATATATCGCAACCACAACCTCTAGCCAGGTGTTGCGATACTTTGCAGGCCAGTGCTGACGATAGTTTATATCGATTTCGATTGGGTGCACAACTAATTTACGTGTGGTGAATAATGAACTAACTCAACTGAATTTTGGCGGTTAAGAATTTGAATTTCAATAGTCATTTCTAATGTATGTATATGTATGTATGAAGACTGTCTAGCTGATATAAAGATGTCTTCACATTGAAATCATTTGATTGCTGGAGAAATAAGCATGTCAGATATTAATTATCGCAACGAATTTTAATTACGCTCAACTGCGATACAACAACAGCAACAAGTGCGCGCTGTCTCCCCCCTTGCACCGCCACCCCCGCATAGAGTATATGGTTAAACGATCTGCCAGGCACACACAGATACAGATAAAGCGCGACAGACGCGAAAGTCGTTCGCAAGAAATTCATTTCAAGCATCGTTGAGCTGCGGATTGCCCTCTGCCTATAAATTTTGACCGATGCCTGTGCGATAAATAGTGGCCAATAAAAGGCGCACATATGATCTACACTATATGTATATATATATATACAAAATTGGAAGAAACGTACAGACAAAGCCCCATAACTGTTAGCTATAAACGAGCAATTGTACGGAACGTCTGAAGTATGCAACATCAATTGCCGACATTGACTTTGACTTTGCCCCTGCCCCTGGCACATTCTGCGCTCGCTTAAGTGCATCCGATACAGTTATCGGATTCGGTTTCCGGAAGTGAACAAACTGTCAGCTGTCACATGCTGGGCGCCATTTTAATGCACACGGCTTCCTTTTGACCGATTTCTACCTGCCTGCGCTTACCTGTCGCCGCCATCAATTCAAAACTAATTAGCTTGCCACAGACGACATTGCAAATGCACGGATCTACCTTAAGTCCACCAAAGAAGAGAGATATACCATACATTTATTTGAAATGTCTGGCAGGCAGACAATTTGTCGAGACGGTAGCATAACACATTAGTTTTATGGTCGGGTATTATTAGAATCGGAATTCTCGCCGATGACAAAGGGAAAAGGAAAACAAGTCCATTTGCCAGATAAGCCGGCGTCATAGAAATCCGCATTAACTAAGTAATTATAAATATCATTTTAATGAAATGCCCCTAGCTCATTAGGCCTTATCGCCCATACATATATGCATATATACTATATCAGCGTTCAGTGTATTTATTTCTAAAATTCATTCGCTCAAATATTTCAATTTTAATATACCCATTAAGCAGTTGTGTGCACCCGTAGGGCTATGTGCCTAAAATCGCATGAGACCATTTTTCGGGGTGTGTTTATTTTTTTTTTTTTTGTGTACATTTAAACAACAATCAATGGACTTTGATTCCAACCCCCCTGATGAAAGCCAAAAAAAAAAAAACCTACGAAAAGTTAAACCAAACCAAGCAAACCAAAATATGAAGAAAGTAGTTATACCCTAAGCTGTATAAAAAGCAAGTGAGCATAAGCGACTGCATAATACCTGTTCCCAGTTCAATCTTCGCTTAAAACGGAACATTCTGTTAAAAGATACCGCAAACATTATTAGATTGTTTATTAGAAAAGCTTAGCAATCATCTTGTTCAATTAATTTCTTTATTTATACAGTAAATACATTTTTGTCACGCGCGAACTATAAAACCAATATACCCTTTTCATCATTGTGAACGCGTTTAAAAACTGCGCAAAAGTCAAAAACGCGGCATAAAAGAAATGTTAGCACACACACACACGCGCATACGCACCCTCCACTGCGGCATACGCACATGTGTTCCCACACGGATCTGTTCCCAGCAGCTTACACAGCGATCGCTGCATGTCCAGGCAGCGGCAGCGACAGCGACACCCCACAGCGCTTGCCAAAATAATTGGCAATACGCTGCGCTCATATGCCCAAGCGGAGAGCGCGTGCCAATCACAGTCTCTCCCGCTGCTGCGGCGCCGCTCAAGGCAGCAACGCAGACACCGAGTCAGCAGTCAGTTGAACGCGAATCGCAGACGCTAACAGACGTATCTAGAGCGCGTGCGTGCCAGCAGCAAACAGAGTAGTATCTTGGGCATACAAAAGCAGCCAACACGCGCAGTGTTCTCTAGCTAAATATAAAAAAAAAAAAAAAAAAAAAAAAACGAACAACATTTCGACAAGATATTTTATCGAAATGCGCTACAACAACTGATAATAAAAACGGCGCTGTAAAAAAGAATCTCAACTTGCGAGTGTTCCAAAGATTTTCTAGTGCAAAAACTTGTTTATTTCGCAATTTTGTTCAGTAAATTGCAAGCCAATTAAAAAGTATAACTAAAAAAAGAAAGAAACGAAAACAAAAACAGCAAATTGTGCAGGAAAAATCTGCAAGGGCTAAGTGTGCGAGTGAGTGCATTGCAAGTTGTTGTTGTGCATCTTGCTGAGAGAGCGAGCGAGCGAGCGAGAGAGAGAGAGAGAGCTTTAAGTGCACTTGACAGCTGCTGCTGCTGCAGTTGACAGTAGCTGACAACATTCCATCGAGTTCTATCCGGTCCTAGACGCATCGCTTGACGCTTGACTAATTGCCAGATATCAATTATGACAGCGGAGACACTTAAGCCATTTATAACACCGACGAGTGCCGTTAATAATTTTCCGGCCAAGCAATCGGGCACGAAGAGGAAAACCAGACAGCTCATACCGATTATCTTGAGCATTGTTGCACTCGTTCTGGTCGCCGGCATCCTCATTTTAACGGTTGGTATTTACAATTTAACATGCACTTTAAAGTTTAGTGCCCCAATCGGAAATACCATTTCACTCGCTTATCACTAAATGTCGAATCGCGTACAGTTTAATCAAACTGAGTAACCTACGACACCAAAGTGCGTAGCTGTCAAAAAGTTAATGTTTATAATTGTTCAAAAAAAAAATAAATAAATTCAAATTCAAATCGAGCATATAACGCATATTTTACGATGCGTGACCGACAGCCATTCCGGTTGTATAAACTATAATTTGGCACAAGCTACACCTAAACAAATCCCCCCCACCCCCTCCATAAACAAAACATATCTACAGATAGATAGACACACAAAAATCAAATATAAAACCCGTCTCAGTTCGGCTTCGGATCTAAATTGAAGCGTGTCTTTAACCAAATCGTTTCCTAATGATGATCATAAAACCCAACAAGCTGATGATCAGCCGAGACACAGACTAGCTGGCGACTGGCTGCTTATAGATCTTCTTCCTCTTCTTCTTAATCTTCTTCTTCTTGGTACAAACATGGGAACTACACGGGTGCCAAGAGACGAACTGTTTGAAGTTCAAGTGGTAGCGTGTGTTTTTTCAAAAGATTTGTTTAGTTTTGTTTATTTAAAAAAAAAAAACAACTGGGAAATACTTAATACTACATAAAAAAAGCTGACAGAGGGGGGGGGAGGTATATAAAGTAGAGGGGAAAAGCAGCAAAAATATTCGTAATCAGCAAAATATATGATCGAGTCGCAATTCTCATTCATCTTTTCTTCGTCTTTATTTTATATACACTATTTAGAATGTTTTCAATGCGTCCTTGCTCTTTCGTATGGAAATATAGAGAGCGAAAATTACAGGGTATAAGGTAGTTGAGCAAATGACAGCGGAAGGCAATTCCATAAAGCAAAGCTAGGTATCTTTGTCTGTCTGCCTGCACGCGAGGCCAGAGTGAAGACAACTCGTTGCTGTTTACAGGGTATCTACTAAGCGAAAACACGCGACTAGAGCAACCTTGGGTTGCCACATCATTTATTTTCTATACATAAAGTCCAGTTGATATTTCGAGGTTTATCTGTGGGTTTAACCATTTATATGTCTCACTCGATAAATGCTTTGTCAACTTTATATATAAGAACTATATAGCACATAAGACTGAGCTCAGATGCTGCGAAGAAGAAGAAGAAGAGAAAGAGAGAGAAGTTCACATATTTAGTCCGTATTCCGATAGCTGTTTGCTCGACTATCGCGGAATAGTATTAAATTTGCATTGCTGCATTTTAAACCGAACAAAAGAAGCAAAAAAAACTTTGACTGCGCACTTTGCATTTCATGCGCTGAGTTCGCATGCCCTTTGCAGTGGGTTTCTGAAACGGAAATCGTACAATTGTCAATTGTCAATTGACTTGGAAGCATTTCGGCTTTGGCTGCCATGCCACATAAATCTTTGTTAAGATTTTTATTCAATTTCCCTGTCGCAGCACAAAAGACCGATTGGTAGCAATTCTGACCAGGGCAAGAGCAGGGGTGGAGGGGTGAGGGGTGAGTGGTGAGGGGGGTGGGAAGTGACCCTCATCAGCGATGGTGAAAGTGGAAACACAAAGTTTTCGATATTGCATTACGTCGGCTACCAGCAAGATTTATGTACGTCGCCTAATGGGAAACTCGTTTACATTTTGGTATTATCCACAAGACTGTCATAATATGTGGGTATAATGTGAACTTTAAGTGTTTACAAATGGAGCAGCAGCAGCCACAGATTGCTGCAAGTGAGCGGCAAATGAAATCGAAGACATAAGTGGCAAATGCACTGAGCGAAAATGGCAACAAATCAGTCGAGAATTATAAATCACTTTTGTAGTTTCTTGTAAGTATAATTGAAAACATAATAACAATGTAAGAGTGCTCTAGTCGGGTGTGCACGACTAGGGGCTACCCGGAAGCTTCTCGCAACTAGATCAGGGGAGGGGAGGGGGATGAGGAGGTAGCTATAAAATGAATGATACTTGATCAGCATGTACTATTCAAGAAGCTACATGTCGATTTTAGTGACTCTAACTCTTAAAACCTAAGAGATTTGCTCAAAAAACAAGATTTCGATATCGATTTTTATCGATTGCTTGGAAACTGTGCAAGTTATCGATTATCGAAACTCGTACTGCGCGGGTACTACTTAGGAGCATCTAGGTTCCAAATTTAAAGTATATAGCTGTTATAGGTTCTGAGATCGACGCGCTTATGCGGACGGACGGACGGACAGACGTACATGGCTGATCAAGAATATATATACTTTATGGGATCAGAGCTGCTTTCTTCTGCCTGACACATACATTATATGCTATTTAACCACTGTTCCAAAATTAGAGTATTGTTTCGGTTATACTCGAAGTAACACGTCTCTTTCTCTCAGTGTACCCGCGGCAATGGCCTTGTGCCTCGGCTACGCTCCTATCCCTGCCACATGTGGGTCTCTTTTCACGATCAATGCGAAAGCTTAATTCAATAATTTGGTAAACAAGTTTCATAATTTATTCACACACTCATCATAAGAACTCGGTACACATGTCTGCGAGACTTTTGAGTACTCGTTGCGAATCGACTCGACTCGACGCGGCTGGAGCTTAGCTTGGAGCTAGCCGCCTGCGGCCTGTCATAACCGGCGGACATTGGGTTTATTTTATGTTTTTATATATACATATTTTTTTTGGGGTGCCGCCTTTGGGCGAAGACGAAATAAATGAAAGAAAGAAGCACTACGTATATAGAAAATAATGATAGGAAAAGGCGCTGACAGACTCGTATTGAGCAACGCGTCGAAAGTTGCGGCTGTTCGCACAGAATGTTAATGATCCATTAAAAAGATTACGCGCCTCGACGGCGGTAGACTATATTTTGAGCAATACCCAGCACATGTACAACTAATCAAATAGGGTAGTTCCGATCTCTTCTAACTAAGAAAGAAATATTATGTTATGATTGAGAACAATATAAAGTATTTAATATTAAAAAATATTAATATATATTTTGTAGGTTTTAGTTAGACGAATAAAAAGTAATTTATGAAAAACATGCAGTTTTTAAATGTTTCTTGAATATTCTCAATAACCAAATAGTTAAGGCTATTTGTCATTGTTTTTAGAGAAAAACAAAAGACATTTGAGTTACAAGTAATGTTCAATATAACTCTATAAGTTGCCGAATCTAGATTGAGAGCATTTTTATTTCATGTTACTTTGAATTCATTTTAATTATAGAGTATTGCCTAGTTGAAATAGAAAATAGAATAAATGAAATTAGAGCAGAGTGCATTTAATTTTGTATATTTTGATTTCCTTTAGATTATAGAGTATTGCTAGTCGAGCAAGTTGAAGTTTTGAGTGATTTTTGTTCAACCTAAATAAATGAGAGATTAATTAGTTCGAGAAAGTAGATTAATATTTAATATTTTATTTTTTTTATTTTATAGAGTATTATATAGTCGAGCGTGTTAAAGTTATGCGTGCTTATTTGATGAAACATTTCAGATTATAGAGTATTGCCTAGTCGAGCATGTTGAAGCTAAGCGTAACTCTTTTTAACTTATACAGAGTATTGCCTAGTCGAGCATGTTGAAGCTAAGTGTGACTCTTTTTAACTTTTACAGAGTATTGCCTAGTCGAGCATGTCAAGTTAATTGTGATTACTTTTCGACTTATACAGAGTATTGCCCAGTCGAGCATGTTGAAGCTAAGCGTGACTCTTTTTAACTTATACAGAGTATTGCCTAGTCGAGCATGTCAAGTTAACTGTGGTTACTTTTCGACTTGTGCAGAGTATTGCCCAGTCGGGCATGTTGGCGTGCAACGTGATTATTTGTTCATCTGCTGAGCGCGACGAAATCTTTCTTTGCTTGTCGCGGGGTTAGCTCGCTCTTCTTCTTCTTCTTCGCGGAGGGGTGCTGGTGTCAAAGTTCGCTGCCTGGGATTATTGGATGTGTTTGTTTTAGCACCGTCTATCGCCCCAATTAAGGCTCATTACAATAATTGTGTACGAAGCTGAAGATAAGCGCAAAATGACTCAAAAAAAATAGAAGAAAAATAAATGCTTATCGCGTTGAATTCAATTCGAAATTGAAATTGATTTTGCTTGAAAAGAATATCTTTCAGCTCTTTCCCTGCTTTTCGTTTTTGTTATAAGTTTTTTACTTAATTTCATTTTGAATTGACCAAGAAAACATTTACATATATTGCGATATGTTTACATTAGGCTCTTTAATGACTTCCCTTTGCTTGATGGAGAATAAACACATGATCAAGCTGTGCGCGTGTGTGTGTGTGTGTTTGTGTGTGTGTATGTGTGTGTGTGTGTGTGTGTGTGTGTGTGTGTGTGTGTGTGGCTATAGTCAAGTGATCTCATAGACAGACACACACATGGATTATTTATGACGCAGATCTATATGGCGCATATATATATATATATGATTAAAGAACTCTCTCCCTCACTCTCTCTTTCTCTCTCTGTCTCTCTGTCTATCTCTTGCAGATCTGGCAGACGATACGGGTGCGACAGCTGGACACGGATCTGGCCAGTCTGCGGCGGGAAGTGGACAGTTTGCGGCAGAGGCTGGGCATTAATTATCTGGAGGACTTGGCGGAATTCCAAAAGGAGGTGAGTGCCAGTCTGACAAGCTCAAATGAAATATATATATATATATATATATATATATATATATTCTTATCTATTAATAATTACTGTTGCGTCACGTAAAATATGAACAGAACAAAACTATATGGGACACTTGTATTTATAGATATACGTGCTGAAATTCAAATATCTGAGAAATTCTTTACGAAATGTTCGCCTTGTGATATATGTTTATTTGTGTGAGAACAGCCAGTTGATCACTCTGCAAATTTATTAATGGGCATATATTTGACAAATCACCTGAACATAAATCACACAAGTCAGCCTAAGACCAAGATAAAACACTCAATTAATATTTAATTGACTTTGTTCTTGTTCTAAGCACAATTTATGTGCTAGCTGTGGCAGATCTTTTCGGAGATCTTTCACACGAAAATCCATTTGAAGGCAATTGCCATATGGACTCTATATATATTATTGTCTTATTCAAAGAAATAACCTAGAGAGAAATAATTATGGACTTTGTGTTGACTGATCTGATCCGATCTGATCTGATGTGATCTCATCAATGGCACAGATCGCTTCAAGATTCAAGATTTACCCATGCATATGTGAGGCAATCTATAGAAGTATAAGTGTAATACATAATGCTTATATATAGTTATATATATATATATGTATAGCGTCGCCCCATTAGGTTCTCTAGAGAGTTGGTAAATGAGTGCGCGTATTTTTAAATATGAAAAACTACATAAATGTATTTGAGAAATGTGCAAGCTCTGGGGACCTGGCAGCATCATCATCATCATCATCATCATGAGCACAAGTCACGTACTTGTGGCCAAGTGATTGACCCAAAATCTTATGGCATCCACTTTGCATTGCAGTATACGAACCTGCTCATTCATGATCCCAACAAGCTGGACGACCTCGAGGGCGAGGAGGACGACAACGAGAACGATGATGACGATGATGATGATGATGACGACGACGTCGGCAGCTGGGTCGACAGCGGGAACGTGGACGACGACGACGACGAGGATGAGGATGCGGGCAACGAGCGCACCGATTACGATGAGTATCTGGACTTGATAAAACAGGAAACGGACGACACTCGCACGACAGTCCAGGGCATCCAAGATGGAACCGAAACAGCTGCATCCGCCTCCGATTCCGCCGCCGCCTCCGGCTCCACCTCGGCGGCGTCCAATGATGATAATGTATTTGACGATTTCACCAGCTATAATGATTCCAAAAAGAAGAAGGAACGGTAAGTGTTTCGCCAGCTCCCGTTCAGTTCCTAATGCTCTAACATCAGAACTCTAACTAGAAACAGAAAATCTCGCTCCATTGCGGAGTTGCGCAATGAGCTGCAGAGCAACGATCTGGCACAGATTCAAAACAACCAAAACCAAACAGATGCGCAGATAAACAAGAGGTAGGTGACAAGGGTTCAATTTTCAAAAAAAAAAAGAGTATCCATTCGCGGTCTAACGCACAAGCCAAACGATGTTACCTGCAAGCAAACACAATTATATATAAACATACCTGAATTCCTGATTGGCTTTAACACACATTCCTCGATGCGTAGAAGTCTGCGCTTGGTATAAGAGCCAAACATACACACGTATACACATACATATACAAGTGCACTTAACTTGATCTGTATATCGTATAAGAGAATTTATACATGAGCTCGCTTATCCGTTTCAGAAAAGCTTCATAGCTCTCTCTCTTGCGCTCCCATGCTGTCTGTATGCTTATTAAATTCTCATGGCAACTTCAAAGAACAAGAGGAAGACTACTTGACTGTATATACATGAGGTCGACTATCCGTTTAAGAAAAGCTTTCTAAATCTCTTCCATTCGCCGACACTCTCTGGATGCGAATTAAGTTCTCATGTCAACTTCAATAAAATACAAATACGCATGCACATGCATTTTTAAAAGCAAAGAACAAGAGGAAGACTAATTACGCACGTTTGTATACGCGCAGAGGATGCGACCGATCAGCAGGACAGACGCGCGCCGACTGAATTGCCTGACTAGGCGCACGCCTACGCTAAGCCGACATTCTCACCAATACTAGTTACAAATAAGAGAGAACATAATGCGCGCTTACAACTGAGCACAAAACTAATATAACGGGATCAAATGTGCTGGGACCAATGGCATGCAAGCGGCGGTCATTTGAATACTCGCTCCCTCTCACATCATTCACAATAGTTGTTCTTTGCATTGAATTTTGACTCGCAGAGGTTTTCTTCTTTGCGTAACGCGTTTCATGAGAAAATGATAACGCCGACTGCCAGGTTAAAAAACAAAGAATAAGACTTAATCCCTGCAAAGCCAACTTATACCAGATATATTATATTTTATTTTATCTTTCCCACAGCGCTGTTACCTCTGATAGCACCACTGTGCACCACCTGCACCGGCAGCGTCCACGAGTGCGTCAGGGCCGTCAACGTCTTTTGGTGCGCAAAGGTGGGTATTAATTTTGTTCTATCTTATATAATATCAGTTGAATTGGCAAAGCTTGTACCATCAAAACTATTGCATCATCCATGTGCGTTTGTTAATTCACAGGCGAATCTCCTGTTTCAGCGAAATCCGCCGATTACAATGCGGCCGGCGGCGGGGGATCTCTCACGGCTGCAGCCCATTTCCACTTGAATCGGAAGGTGCCGCATCACCAGGCGCCCATTCGGCTCCACTGTGAGTAGAAAAATGATACCAATGTGGCTTGAGACTAATCTCTGTGTGTTTGGACAGCTTATGAGGGGGACATGTATATGGGGCATGCCACCGCCAGCAGCGACAATCAGTGGCAGCAGCATTTCAGCGTCAACAACGGCATCCTGACTGTGCATCAGCCGGGCCTCTACTATGTATATGCCCAGATCTGCTATAATAATACACACGATCAGAACGGCTTCATCATCTTCCACGGGCACAACGCCTTCCTGCAGTGCCTGAACACGGTGCCGACGCATATTGATAAGATACACACCTGCCACACGAGCGGCCTGATCCAGCTGCAGAAGGAGGAATCGATACATCTGCGCGACATCCATCGAGATCGCAATGTCATGCTGAGGGATGTCAGTAATCGCAGCTACTTTGGCATCATCAAGATCTAGATGCGCTTCACGGGAATCTGAAGAATTTAAGCTTTAGTAGTTGCGACTACTCAATTAAACAAATACGAATACGCATACGCATACAGCATAGTAGATGACTAATTTAGGGCTAGCTTTAGTAACATTCTATTTACACAAACTTATATTCATAAACCTAACTCTAACATGAACAGGCTTATAATACCATATTTATTTTGTATATATACGATTAATTCAAATTCTGTATGAGAATTGCCATAATAAAAGAAGTCAATCAAATAATAGAAATTTTTCGATTCATTTCAATTCCCAACAATTTACAGATCCGCCAGGAGGAGTATCTTATGATAATGAATAAATAATAATATATATTCCTGGATTCATTTCGTTGACTATGAGATCAAAAATGGGTAGTTGCAAGATTTAGAGATCAGTTCTCGGATAAGAGCTGGATACATAGTACTTATAGGGAATATAGAATATTACAAGGTTCTACAGACAATCAAGAAGCAGCATAACATAAATGTACATCAGGAGAACTCCAAATGTCAGAATTATGGATGGTATACAAAAGGATGGATCAATAAGTAGTAGTACTTATGTAAAAAAAGAGTGACCTTTGAAGACTATCATTATTTATAGTTAGTCAAGTTAACTATTTAAAATTTCCAGAAATTCCTGAACTGGGATTTGAACCAGGGTTCCTTGAACCAGCACCTTATAAAGCAAATTCACCTTATAACTCTACGTCTAGATGATAGACATACATCTAATGTTTCTTTGAAACATTAAACTATTGAATATTTAAATTTCGACATTACAATTTATTCGATTTTAGTGGACCTTGTACATAGTATATAATATATGCCTGATGCCAAGTCAAATATTTTGTTTAGCCATAAGTCAGCTTTAACACAATCTGAGAGTGTGATTATGGCAAATATTTGCTCAAATTCTAAAGCGTTTCTTTTTTTTTGTATTTATAATGCAATTATTTCTGACTCTGAGCTGTTTTTAACAAATATTTATATTTGCTTATCTACTCTTACTGCACCTAACTCTAACAATTTCTGAAATTCTCTTGTTAAAACTTGTTGTGTACATTTCTAGCTAAGGCAAAGAGAACAACAAATATCCCTTAAATACCAGACCTTAGAGTATGCAATTAAGCCTTCATATTAAACCCAAGCACATGCTGCATTATAATAAATTAGTAAATCCTTTGGACTTAGCAGAGAATTTTCTAGCAAAAAAGCCGCACATTGTATGTGTGGCAATTGTGTTCGTTTTATTATTTGTCAACCACAAAGCAAATGATTTTGTATCTTTTTGGACAGCTGGTTGATGGCCAACGGCAAAGGACCTGTGTGTGAATGTCCACAGGATGTGACGTCAAATGGAATAATTAAGTTGCACTCGCACATGAGAAATTGTATGCATTCCAGGTCCAGTCCAGGGGAATCTCAGCCCGGGCTGAATGGCCAAAAATAGATGCAATTGAAGCTAATGCAGCTTTAAGCTGCAAGCAACCGACGCATACATAAACACAAATTGAGATCCGGGACTCGGCCCGGGTCCGGCTCTGGCTGCGGAAGTAATTGCCGAATGAATGCCATTTGGCAAGTAACAGGTGGGCGGTTTTTCCTGCTGCTACTGCTGCCAGAAGCAACAGTTCGGTTCTGTGCAGAAATTTGGGGTTGGCATTGCCCCAGGCTGTGGCAACAACAAACTCAAACAGGCTGTTCTGTTGCCAGGCCTACCTATACCAGAGTATACCTGCCGCGTCCTGCCCATGCGCAGTAAACCCATCCAGCTTTCGATGCATCCAAAGCTTTATTTCAGTCTTCACGTAGGCGTCCCTTCGTTCTGGCTGTGTTTTTCCTTTCGATGCGTCAAGTGCAGTTTTGTGTCAACATTTTCCAGTTATCTTAAGCAAATTGCAAAAAGTTTTTCCTAACACCATGGTAAGTAATATTTATTTTTCTTGGATAAACTGTGATTAACTTTCACATAATATTTGGCTAAGTTTGATCTATTTGTTTAGATTAAAACAACAGGTGTCCCATTTTTTATTTTAAATAATTAATTAAATATTTGTTTTTAACAATATTTTATTAAAGATTTCGAATAAGAACTGTATTTAAATATATTTAAATCTAACTGGCGAAAAAACTCCTTCTATACCCATATACCATACTCAAGTTAGTATAAGGTTTTATCCTCTTTGCAACTGATTTTCGTTAAAATAAATTACTGATTTTATTAAATATTGTTTTATATGATTTTCTATGGACCAAAAAATGTAAGTGCGCAATTTCGAGACCTTGAGTTTCAAAAGCTATCAATCGAAACTTTTTAACTGTAAAGCACGAGCGCAAAAACATAAATCATATATTTTCATAAATTTTCCAACTGCAATGCATTGTTGACAAAAGGACATTCAGCCTTGAAAACGTCTAAGTTAATCCATTAAGTAAAATATATTCCAATAGGAACTTGTCCAATTAGCCAATTTGTTAGAACTGCACGCTTTTCATGCTTCAACTACGCCTTCTCTTGCATTATACTGCGCACTTGCCTAATTAATTTGTGAATTCAACTGTAATTTCATTACGAGTTGCGCTTCAAAGGGCACACACATACACATGCATATGTGTGGCAAGGCTAAAGAGCACTAATGAAGTTTTCACAAGAAAAACCAAAGCTCACGGGCACACAATGTGAATGGCAACAGAGGATGTGCGTGGATATTAGTATGCTTCTACCTGAATAAATCTGTTCAGATGCAAGCGCAATGCTGCAGCGAATGAAATGCGAGCAGAGGGCAACAATAACAATGCGACGCGGGCAGCGCAAATCCGAAAGAGATAACACTCAAAGGCAAATAACAATAACGGCAAAGAGCTTTTTCAAGCAACAGCTTCGCCCACGCTCTCTCGAGCTCGCTCTCTCTCTCGCTCTCTCTCTCTCACGCTCTCGTTCAGTGTGTCTCTCTTTCTGTTCAGTGTGTCCGTCCACTGCGTGTGGACTGTGGACTTTATGTGCCGTTATTCGCTTCCTTTCGTGCCGCCTGGCATTGTATAAATTGCAGAAGCGTCGCGCATTTGATGTCACTCTTGGTTCCGTCTTGACTGTGGCTGTTGGCAGAGTTGTTGTTCAGCCGCGAGCGAGTCCTTGTGGCAATTGTAAGAAGGCGTAGGAGTGACGCCATGTTGTGAAAAGTGTCTACCATTTTTATTTGCCGTCGTCAAATACAAAGAACACACACACACACACACACACACACACACACACACACATAAACGCAAAACAAATACTAACTGCAACGCAAAAGCATTAAAAAGCCCAATTACAACAAGGAGCAAAGTGCAACTTTTTTCACACAACCCAGCGACAGAGACGTCCAAAAAAAGAGGAGCTGTCGCGTCCATTGATTTGTTTATTGGTAAGCGTGGGCGTTGTGTCAATAAGTCAAAATAAGGAATGGGCCTTACACTCAATATCAATGTCTCCATTTGCCAATGTCTATGTGTGTCAATGTTTAATACGAGGCTTTTGTGTAGCCCGCTTAACTGTTGCGAATGCCAAAATAAATTATTTAGCTGATATTAAAAATTAACTCGACAAACGGTTAATTAACAAGAAAGTGAAGGAAAGCTGCAAAAACGGTTGCCCGTCAACATCAAAAGGTTCACTGGCTGCTGCCTACTTAGTCGCAGCCTCTGGCCCAGTCAGTATATATACACTCTGTATATATGTATACTCTACTCAAGCTGTGCCATCAATTGAATTTGTCACCAAACTTGATTGCCTGGCTCGCAAATGCATATCCATCAAATAAATCGAATTATGTTGCCAATTTGCATGTTCTGCCCAGCTTCAATTTAGACTACGCTCGACTCCTACCAAAGCCTGTATGTATAATATAAGTGACAGCTAATGAAAGCTGTCTATCAGAATAGCCAAGGCACACACACACACACACGCACACACACTTGTATAGCCTGGCACAATACTTTAATTTTATAAGACTTTTGAAGTGACTTTCATGTACTTCTTATTGAACATCAAGCATACGCCCAATGGTACATGTTTTATGTTTCATATTTTTCTTTTTAGAAAAAGTTGCGACAAAAGCAACCGCAAAAAACTCAACCAACTTTTTGCTTTACTTATTTATAAGCAGCAACAACGTCTATATAGTATCAAAAGCTAATCAGAAAAAGCAATTTTCGCATGTGTTTTTATAAGTATATGTGCTATATATATAAATATATATATGTATATGTACTTTGAGGTTTGCGGTTCTGGGTCCTGTTGCTGTCACATAAATTGCAATTTCTGCGTATTCGCAATTTAAAACTTTTCAGTTTTTCCTGTGTACTATAAAGAAAAAAAGTGTCAAATTTGCATATAAATAAATTGCTCTCGGAATTAAACATGAGAAACATGTCATGTTAAGTTCGTAGAAAACAATATGTCAACTGTGCATATTAAATCAATTATTTCGCACAGAATTTGCTGGAAGCGTAGAATCGGATATCAAATTGCTTTATTTTAATTGCAAAACTCAATTGAAGACGCACAGGATGCCAAATCAAATGCCTTTAGACAAATTCCGAAATGGTTTTGAATTTCTAAATCAATTACAATTCGTTTTTTAGTCCTTGATTTATTTGCCTTATAACGCAACGGTATTCAAATATTCAAGGGCTAGATTTATGTCTTTTAACCTTTCTTTAAATTTATGCCCAATTGCTTGGGCGAATACGTTATGCAAATAAAAATCTGGTTTTTGGCTGCTGTTGAGCAAAATATAAGTATAAACAAAGGGAAAAGGAAATAAAATAAGTTGAACTAAATTAATTTGATGCTTTTGCGACTTTGCTTGGGCGCGTTTAAGCGGTACCAGGACGCGGCTGAGACAACAGGCAGTTAGGCAGCCAGGCATCAGTAATAATATTATAATATTATATAATGAAACACAAGCAAACTAAAAAACAACAACAGCTGCAGGCGAGACGCTCTGCAAGTGGGCGGGGCCGCCTTGACATTTAATGGCGCTTAAAGGCAAACGTCTATCATAAATTCCAACGCAAAATGAAAAGCGAATTGTGGCCAGGGACACAGGGGCATATATATACGATACAACACCACGAACTCTGGATGTGTACAGCTCAGTTCTTTGCCGTGAAGCGACCGCAGCGAAGACAGCAACAGGCAGCAGAAGGCGGCAATGTGGCGTATGCTTTATATTGCGTA